CAAGCTGCAGAGTCATCGTGGGTGGTAATGACCTCCGTCACCTACACATGGGCACAGGACACAACGACACGGTGACTCAAAAGACTCCTCCACAAAGCCACTCTCCTTGGTGAGTCACACGGCAGGACCCACCCCCTGGCTGTCATGGTTCACACGCTAGGTTCTCCCAGCTTCCCTTTAAAGCAGCCACCATCTCTCTATTTCATGTAGGCCCTCCTGGGGTCTCCTCGGTGTGGTCCTGTGTTCACATGGATGGGCATCATTTATGTTACTTTGCAAACCAGCAATAGCCTCTAGAGAAATGAGAGGTTGAATTGGTTAAGAAATTCCTGTTTGGGCTTGTTATAGGCTGCACTGTGATCCCTCAAAATTGATATGCTGGAGTTCTACTCCCAAGCACCTCAGAAGGTGACTGTATTTGGAGACAGGGTCTTTACAGAGGTGATCATGTTAAACGGAGGTCATTAGGATGGAGCCCTGATCCAATACGACTGGTGTCCTCACCAGAAGGGGAGATTAGGACACAGGCAGGTGCAGAGGGAAGACCACGTGAGGATACAGGGAGAAGATGGTCGTCTGCAAGCCAAGGGCAGAGGCCTGGAGCTCATCCTCTGCACACCCTTGGAAGGACCCAACCCAGCTCTCACCTTGAGCTCAGACTTCTGGCCTCCGGAACTGTGAGAAGTAAATGTCTGTTGTTGAAGCCCGCCAGTCTGTGGGACTTTGTGACAGTAGCCCTAGCACACTCACACAGGGCTTTCAAAAATGTTGTGTGAATTGTAATAGTTCAGAAGCCAATAAACTTTAGGAACCCACAAGGCTGTTTTATCTTCATTACTTTTTTTCTGATAAGACCTGGAGATTGTGTAGCCATAAGTAACAAGCTATTTCCGGGCCTAGTACTTTGGAAGAGGTTCTGAAGACAGGCTGTGTGTGTGTGTGTGTGCGTGCACCCCGGTGTGCAAGATTCTCAGTGACACCCATGGTGCAGAACACTTTAAGCCCTAAAGTCGACCTCAGAGATGCACTTTATCATCAGACAGAGCCGATCTGCAGAGCCTGTTACTTCTTCATCACACACTGACACGTGGCAACACCTGCCAGTTTTCTGTGTTCAAAAGTTCCAGAAGCTAGTGCTGTCAGGAAACATAACTGTTCCGGAATCACTTAGCAAGTTTTAATTCAAACACTAAGAACTGAAGGTGTTTTAGTCCTGTTGTTTTCATTCTTCTGCTGACAGCTGACTATTTACCTGTCCTCTGTGGACACAAATGATGATCACACCAGTCACCGCCAACCACTGGCTGGAGACGGCCAGGGGCTCAGGTGGCCTGGATGTGACTCTGCTATCGCTGACTTTTACTAACGTGGACTGGTATTCAGAGCCTCGCACTCATTGCTAGTGTTAGAACACGAGGCTGCATTTATTTCACCTGACCGTGTGGAGCTGAGGTTTCCTCACCTGTACGGTGACCACGGAAACAGTAGAATCAGGTAAGGTTAACACCCTAAGTGCTTCACTGGCCCAGAGCTTGGCATAGAGCAAACAGTAAATGCCGCTGCTATTATTGCCACATCGTCCTCATGCTGGGTTGAGGCGCATGGTTGGCACTGAGGGGACAGAGGAGGAGTAAGGAACTGTCTTCCAAGTGCCGTCTGGTTCCCTGCCCCTGGCGATGTCTAACTAATTAAAAAGGGGACACTCAGGAGGCAAACTGATGTGAAAGTAGAACCCTGAGTTAGTGCACCCTCAAGCTACTTTTGGGTGCCTTCTGCTCACACAGCTGCAAGGAGAGGGTCTCTGTTGCATCATCAATCATCCCAGGTGCGAGACCTGGTACACACACCAGTGAACGCCAAGGCCCGGCCTGGGCAGGACCCTCCCAGGTATGGGGATTTTTCATTTAATTGCAGGAACCAAGAGTTACCTAAAATGTCTCTTTGTAGTCAAAAGAGGATTTGGTAATAAACAAATAGGCAAGGTATGTATGTCATTATCTCTACAAAGAATATATCATACAAGAAATTTTTAAGTTAATTTAAAACAACCACAATCCATAAGGTAGCACATGAGAGATTCTGATAACATGGGCCCTAGGAGTCAGGTAACAGTCTCGTGAAATGACTGAATCTGTCACGCCGTGAGACAAACGCAAACACTAATACTATACACAGAATGGTTAAGCAGATCTTTTCTTAATATTATCAATGAAACCCTTAAAAGTATTTTATGATTTCTCTAAAGGTAGAGAAACAAAATCAACTTAGGATATCCCCAATTCAGAAAGTTAAGCTTAGTAGTTATGAAAGAGGAAAACGAGCCTTTTCTAATCTCATTGCTTAAGAAAAACGAAAGTGCCAACAGATGGAGGAACGTAACTAGAATGGAACGGTTCTGCCTTTTAAAGTAATCATTGGTTTGGTAGCACTCTTGGTTCTCTTTGAATACCTAATCAGGTATTTTGATTGCTTTCCCAAAGTCCTTTAACTACCTTCAACTACGGAAATAATTTGGTAACTACAGTAAGTGCAATGAACAATCTGTAGGTAAGAAATTTACAAAAGCAGGAAAGGCACCATAACGCTGAGGGCCCTGAGACACTATTAGGATCCTTTCCTGCACAGAATATTGAAACACTGATAAACATTCATTCCTCCTGTTCTTACACTGCATTTTGAGTTGTTTGTGTATATCTTACACGACTCTCTTTTGGATGTTGAAGTCAGCACGAAAAGTGCAAAGAAACTGAATTGGTATTTTTATAAATTGCTGAGTACTCACCTTCCTTTCAGATATTTCATAACTAGACTTTAGAATAGGTGATATAACACAATATGCTAGATGGACGGCCCTGAGTTCAACTAAGTAAGATTTTGAAATTAATAAATAAAAATAGTGATAATTACTTTCAACAATAAGGTCTCTTAACTTGCTGACTGTATGAAGACTCTCAATTTGGATTACAAAGAAAAGACATATATACACAAGGACCTGCCTAATTTAATAGAAGTGCAGGGGCACCAAGAGAACTATCAATCACAGCATTCACGTGAACATGGAAAACACTTAACTTACTGACATATATCTCTTCTAAAAAAAAAGTCTTTATTTCTCATTTGAAATCTTTACTTTCCTACATCTTTCAAAATGCAGGCTGTGGTTGAGGATCTCTTCCAAATCTAAATGCTATGATTCTGTGATTATAAGGCAAAATGATATTCCTCTGCCCCTCATCCCCAAAGTCATCTCTGTGAAGAATGAAAGAAGGTAAGAGAGTGTTCCAGAGAGTTCTGATTAGCAGTGCTTTCAGAAAAAATAACAGAAGCATTTCTGCAGAATATTTTTCCCCATCATTTGTATAAATCCTGATAATAACATAAACCTGGACCCTCTCCCACCCCCGTGGCTTGTATCGAATCACAGACTCTTCACATCAGAGCCAGCGCTGAACCACAGGCTTCAGACTGAATTTCTGATGCTAAAGCATTAAACCTCACCTTTCTAGAGCCGCCAGGTCCCTCCTATTTCTAACGCGAAAAATAAGCAGAAGCTAAACCCCAGAAAAGATGGACTAGCAAGACAGTACTTGATAACAACAGACCTCAGTCAAGAATTAAGTGCCTTTCTCCAAAGGAGTCACAATGCGATTTGCCTGGAATCCCAGGGGCTCCACCTCTAGTGAAATTGGCAGAACAAGCATTATTTGATTAGTGTGAAAGATCCGGCCGTGAAAGGGACAGAGGCAGGTGACAGGGGACTGATGGCTTCTGAAATGCTAGCTGTACAAAGATCAAATCGAGGTCATTCCGGGACTCCTAAACAAAACAGGGATTCTTCATAAATCTAAAAGACACCCATATAAAATTATAATTTTATTAAGTAATGTTCAATAGCGATTTGGGAAAACATCAACCAAATTGAACATGATCAGGAGCATATAATGTGGGAAGATAAAACCATCATGCCTCTGCCTGCAGCTGTGGGGGGGGGGAACACATTTCAGAAGATTCATTCATTCTCTGCTCTCAAGTTCTCTGGGGTTTCTTTTGGTAAAGCTGCCGTCTGGTGCAATAGGCGAGAAGTTTCAGGCACCAAGCCTGCCCCTGATTTCAGTATTTAGTTAAAAATCTTTAGTTCTGATAATGGATTTAACCTCACGGGGCAGGGGGAACCTGGAAGGAAGAAACAGGTCTGAGAGAGACCAAGACCTTGAACAACTACCCAGGAGGTGATGGTCCTGGAAGGAGCCAGGTACCATGCATTTCCTTGAGGTCATCTGGCCTTGTCACACTCAAACCACACCTCTGCCTCTCCAGTGAAATTTCTCAAGAGCAAAATTTTCACCTTTGCGCTACATGCTGGTCAAAAGGGGGCAGAGCAGGGGAGCAGATTCACCAGCAGGCAGCAGGCCCTCTGCAGAGCCCCCCACCTGCAGAGCACCCCTGAGTTGTTGCTGCGGGGGGTGGAAACTTTGCGTGTGGGGCAGGGAAGGGGGCAATAAACTGGGCTGGATACTCAGATTCCTAAGTCCACGTGAAGTTCCACCCTTAGGGAGATTGTGGGGTCAGGAGACGGGGAGAAGCCAAGGAAAAGGAGAAGGGGGTAAACGGGAGAGGGAGGGGGAGAGAGCGGAAGCCTGGGGCAGGGGCGGAGGAGGAGGAAAGGGAGGGGCACATGGGGACAGCGGGTCAGGAGATCAGGGCAGAGGGTAGAGGGGCAGAGCCAGAGGGGAGAAGCAGCAGAGGAGAAAAGAGAGGAGGGTGTGCGGAGAGGGAGAGAGCGCATTCTAGAGAGATGGGGACCGACCGGGAACAAGCGGGAGACCCGCAGAGACGGGATGGAAAAGTATGGAAAGAAGAAAACGCTCAGGGAAGAGAAGCGGAGGCGCCCGGGAACGTCTCCCCTTGGCAGGCTGGGGTAGAGACACAGCCCCGCGCGCACCAGGAGCGAGAGCGCCGAGGGGCCAGCCCCGCGCGCCCCCGGCCTCCTCCCCGCTTACCTGGCCCTTGACCAGGCTGGCGGCGAACTGGCGCATGACGGCCTCCACGGTGTAGGCGCTGGACCAGCCGCGCGGCGTGAGCAGCTCCATGCAGATGGCGCCGCCGTCCAGCACGTAGCCGTTCTCCAGGCGCGGGCTGAGCACCCGCATGAAGGGCGGCGAGAAGGGGAAGTTGTCGGGGAAGGTGAGGTTGAGCAGGATGAACTCGGTGTTGGTCTCCTTCATGTCCTGCCACAGCACCGAGTCCTTGTCCACCTGGTGCAGCTTCACGTTCCAGTCGAAGAGGCTCTCGTCCACCAGCTCCACGGAGATGAAGCGGTCGCTGAGGCGCGCGATGTCCTGCAGCTCCTTCATGAGCCGCCGGCTGCGCACCTGCGTGCAGTGCTGCTGGCGCGCCGCGGGCACCAGGCTGCCGCCTCCCGCCGCCGCCGCCGCCGCCGCCGGGCCCGGCCCCGCCCTGGCGCCCGCCGCGCGTTCCCGGGGGCCCCCGCCGCTCGCCGCCCCCGCCGCCGGCTGCGGCGGCTTGTCGCGCTGGGCCAGCTCCGCCGCGCGCTTGCCCTTGCCCTTGCCGGGTCCGGGGCTGGCGTCGCCCGCGCCCCCGGCGGGATGCTGCTGCTGCGGCTTGTGGCCGCCGCTCTTGGCGCCGCCCTTGCCGCGCAGCGACGCGCTCTGCTGGCCGCCGCCGCCGCCGCGGTGGTTGTGGTGATGCTTGGGGTCCTCGGTGTCCCGGTTGTGCAGGCGGATGAGCCCGATTTTGCGGAGCAGCGTGGCCATTTTAGGCTTGGCGCCGGCGCGGGGTTCCCCTCGGCTCCTGCCCCCGGAGCCCGAGAGCCGGGGCGCGGGGGGCGCGGGGCGGCAGCGACCGGCGACCACTCAGCGGGGCACGGCGCGGGCCCCCCCTGGCGCCGGCGGCCGTGGCGCAGCCGACCGGGCAGCACGCGCGCTCGCCGGCCGCTGGGTCGCCGCTGTCATATGACGGGGCCCGCTCTGGCTCGGGCTCCAGCCGCCCGGGGAGGGGAAGCGTGGAGGGGACGCGCCGCGGCGGGCCGTCCCCCGGCCGGTCCCTGCGCGCAGCCCCCCGGAGCCTGGTGTCCGCGGTCCTTTGTGAGCGGCCGCAGCCGGGCTGGCTTCGAGTCCGAGCGCCGCCTCGGGGCGCGCCGAGCCGTCCGCAGCGCCCCAAAAGCAGCGAGGCGGCCGCGGGCTCGCGCCGTGCGCGCCCGCCGGGCCGTGCTGCGCTGGCCGCTACCGCGGGGCCCCGACCGCCGCCGCCGCCGCCGCGGCTGCTGACATTGCAAAGGCGGCTGCTCAGTCTGAGCCGAGCGCGGCGCGGAGGGGGCGGTCCTGCCGGCCGGGGAGGGGGGCGCGGGGCGGAGCCGCGGGACTGCCTGCGCCGCGCCGCTTCCCCGCCGCCCGCCAGCCGCCCGGCTCCTGCGGCGACACGCGCACGGCCGCTGGGGGGAGACATCGGTGCGCGCCGGGCTGCTGGGTAGAGCCGCGCGGAGCCGACCGTCCGGCCGGAGCGGAGCGAGGGTGGGGAGCAGGGCGAGAAGGGGCACGTGTGTGAGCGCGCTAATGAGGGTCTCAGAGGCTCCGGGTCCTTCGCCCGGGATCCAGGCTCTAACCCCGGCCCGAGCCTCCGACCTCACTTAACCTAGTTGGAGCAATCCGGAGGGGAAGGGGCGTCGGAGAAGGATGGAAAGCAACCTGTTCATTGAATCCCGTGTGTACCAGATGGAGCCTGGTGTCCACACCGCAATCCTGGACCGGGGTCTGCAGAACCGGTGCTCTCCTAAGGACTGACCAAAGAATCAGGGCCTGGGGAGGAGAATGTGGGAAGCGTGCTCTCCGCAACCCGCTAAAGAACCCCTCGAGTCCCGACTTCAAAGGATGACCGTTCCGCGAATTCACCCCTGCGACCAGGCCTGGCTCCTGTCCTCCCCGCCACGCCAGGGGGGTCCCTGTGTTCCGAAAGGAAGGGACCACGGAGCACTGGCTTTCGAGTCATTTCCAAGAGGTTGCGGTGAAACGCATCCGACTATGGCGCCAGCGGGCGCTCAGGGCGCGGGGCGGGCCCTCTGCGGCCCCGGAGTCCCCGGTACCCGCGGGTAACCTCGGGACTGGCCGCGGAAAGGGTGGGGATCCTCCTTCAACTTGGACGCTTTCATCCCTCCCCTCCCTTTCTGCCTTTAACTCATTGAAACTTATTTTTATCTGGTGAAATTTCAAGCAAAAAGCACTTTCAGAGCCCCAGAAGCTGGAACAACCAGGGAAGCCGTGAAGAGTCCAACGTCTGCAGGAATCGCGCCGCCGCGCATAGTCTAAAGTCTGTGGCTCAGCTGCGCAATGGGGAGGGGCGGTGATGATCCCCGCAATATAGGAGGGATCACCCCGAAAACCCAAATGGGCAAGGACTGACTCCAAACTTCACCGCTGTTCCTGGTTTGGCTTTCATCTTGAGGAGCCTCTAAATTCATCAGCAGAGCGCGTTCGTTCTGATGTCACCGTGACGATTGTTTTTAAACGTCTTTACCATTTTCACTTTTTATAAATTATTTAAAAATTTCCCTGTGAAAAATAACTTCAGATCACCACGGACGTTAAGTTCAGACCTAACGGGCCTGTGGTTCAGTTTTCTAGAGTTGCTTCCCGGTAGAGTGAGGTGCCCGCCAGTCCTCGCTGGTTTGTGGCAAGTGCATGCCACCCTGGGACGTGGTCCCCTGGATCAGTGACTATATATAAAGGTGCCTTTCCGTGGAGGCTGTTTTCCAGTGGGTGGGAGTGGGCAGTGAAGCAGACCAGGCAAGACCAGTGGCTGGTGACCAAATCTGGGCTGCAACTGACTGAGATCTAGTTGTCCTGGTCTCATGGGCTTTTTTGTGACCCGTTCTGTCCAGCTCTGATTTTTAAAGAGAGGTTGGGCAGGAAGATGACAATATCTGTCTGTAAAGTACCCTGAGTTCATTTAACCTATGGGAAGAGGGGATGTGAGCAGATCGGGAGGTGACACTGGTGGGGACAGGCAGGCATTACATGTTTTATCATTTCACGGCCACAGAAGCCATCTCGGGTTTTATCTGACCCATTTTATTGGTAAAGAAACTGTGTTTCCAAGAAGCTAGCCCAGCTCAGCCGTGTGCTGGGACCTACATCCTGTTCCCTGTGCCCCCAAGCCCTGTGCTGAGGTTGACCAGCTGCCCCAGACAGTACACTGCACTGCAGGGTTTCTGCCGGGGTTGGCTTTCAGTGTCAGTCCCAGAGGTGGAGGTGAGAAAGTCTCCACAGGTGTGATTGTAATCCCCACAGGCCAGCTGACCTAGGGGGAGGCCTTGGAGAAACGTTTCCTACCTGAAGCAGGGGTGTCATCCAGTGTGGTTTGGGAATGGTTTAACTGAAATCCCAGGCAGCCATCTGTTAGGGCTTTAATTCTGACTGGAAGTATTATTAGGGTGATCATATAATTTATTCTTGGAATGCAGGGCTTTTTAAAATTTTTTTCTGAAAGTGAAAGGATCACAGTTAATACTGATACTGGGACAAGGGGCCAAAGCAGGACAGACTGACAGGTGAGATAAAGGTCATCTTAATTATTATCTACCTGTCACACTTTCAGCATCTCTGATCAACTCTTTAAAGGGCTAAAGGCAAATGTTAGTTAAAAATTGGAAACGACCTAAATTTACAACAATAGCATAAGTGGAAGGTAAATTATACCTAATCCACTTGAGAGAATATTATGCAGCAATAACATTACAGTTATGAAGATTATATAGCAAAATGAAAATATTTATGATGTACATAATAGTTTTAAGGAAGAAAGCAGAGTGCAAAATTATATACACTATAGCTACAACTGCATAAAACTATGTGTAGGAAAAAAGACAAGGAGGAAAATTGAAATGGTAACAATTATTACGTTAGTACAGGTAGGTATTCTCAGCATACTCCCTCCTCAACCCTCCAGTCCGTGGACTCAAACATTTGCTTCAGTGACGGGATGCTAGCAGCAGCAGTGGGAAGAAGGGCCCCCTCCTTCTCCTATCCCAGGAGATTCTAGAAATTTCCACGTCACCAGTGGAATGAATGGGCACCTACCCAGCTTAGCAATGTGTAGAGGTTGCATTTTGTTTTTAAAATTATTCTCTTTTATTTGATTTTCAAACACTCTGAAAAAGAATATATTGCAGTTACAATGAAAAAAATTGTTAGCAAGTTTTTAAAAATTAGCTTATTGGCGATTAAGTTTACAACATTAAGATAGTTGAATTGAGAGCATTTAGCAAAATAAAATAATCTCTAAGGACAGCTGTGGGTCTCTATCTCCTCCTCCCTTCGCAAGTAGTGATGGGGTGGGGAGGGGAACGGCTAGGGGATCTCTGCAGAGAGAGCTGAGGCCAATCTGCTGTGAAGGGGAGAAAGGCAGGGAGGCAGGGAGGGAGGGAAGCTGGTTATCATGGTCATCCGTCGTCTGGGAATTGTGTTGTACCTGCCAGTGATCCTCCCATGAGCATTTGAATCAATGGTGCCAGGGGCCAGCTGTCTCCCGTGGCAGTTTTTATAAAGAGATGCAGAACTGGGTTTGCCCATTTATTCTTTGTCTCAGAGCACCACATCCCAGTTTTTTTCCAGTTGGTCCTATTTCTTTAGGAGCCCCAGTCTCATAAAGGCATCAACCAGACTAGCTCAAAATATCAGCCCCCAATTCATACACATTGTTTATTCCCTTGAACGAAAGTGTTAAGATAACTATCAAAATTCAAAAACATTTTCTGTTAGAATTCACTGCAAGGCAGCATAGTGTTGATCTCTGATGTCACCAGGTCACCTGACCTATTATGGCATTCGTTTGTCGATCATCAAAGCCAGTGCTTAGATGGCACTTCATATCTCAAGTGTCGATCCCAAGCACTATATATATATTATATAAATATAGATATTCACTTACTCTTCATAACACCTTCTAAGTAGGTACCATGTTTAGCCTTACTTTATAGTGAAATTAAGTAACTAGTCCAAAATAATACAGTGAGTGGTCAGTGAAGCCAGGATTCAAACCCAGACAGTTTCATATGGTGCTGCACTATTGCTCTGTGGGCACCTACTGCATGCAGGCATCACTGCACAGATGGCATTGAAGAAACCCTGCCCTCCTGGAGCTGGGGTTCTGGGGAGGATGTCTTTATCACCCTCTGAGCACTCTATAGAAAATTGCTCTAGCAGGCTCTAAAGGAAAGAGCTTGAGGACGTCAAGGAATGTTCCAAACTCACCTCTGCATTTGCTCAAGACCCATGATGGATGCAGATGTATTTTGTTATTTAATTGAAAACTCAGCCTTTCATTTTACAGCACAGACGTCTGAAGTCACAGCAGTGAGGATCTTGCCCAGAGTCACAGGAGGTAATGGAGAGGGAGCCCGGAGCCCGAGGCCTGATGCCTCATCCAGTGCTATCACAATGCAGTCTTCAAATTCCATAGGTTGTGCTATGAGAGGACAGGGCTCTGATGGCTTTCTGTCAGGATGTTCACCTTGGGAACCCAGCCGCCATGTTTTGAGGAAGCCCAACCTTCATTAAAGAGGCCGCACATGTGGGTGTCCAACCATCGACCCAGCTAAGGTCTTTGCAGATAGCCAGCAGCAGGGACCAGACGTGAGTGAACTTGTCTTCAGATGGTTCTGGCTGCCAGCCTTTGAGCCCTCCAACTGAGGCCCCAGTTACTGAGCAGCAGAAAGCAGCCATCCCCACTGTGCCCTGACGGATTCTCCCACCCAAAGAAACTGTGAGGGATAAGAAAGAACACTGCTGATGTAGACCATCATGTTTTGGGCAACTTGTTACACAATAATAGATAACCAATACAGTACACGTCTTTCTGATTCTCACTTCCTTGAAACCAGAAACGTGCTTTCCCAGATTCCTTGCAGCCGGGCACAGACATGGGACCTGGTCTCAGCCAATACAACACATCAAAGCAGAACTTCAGGTTAGAAGATGGAGGCTCCATAAGGGTTGGTCTTGGTGAGTGGACTTTGGTCAAACGAATTCACATGAAAATTTAAATAATATATAGCAGTGTTTTTATTTTGAAATGATATGTTTTGTATTAGGTAGAGCACTGGTTAGATTGCTTTAACAAAACGTAATCTAGGGCCTCGAATAAGAAGTTTATTTCTGTTGTATGTAATAGGACAAGGCAGTTGCCACACGGCCTCCCTCGTGGCTTCACCTGCTGCCTTTGGCTCATTCTGGATGTAGCTGTAATTAAATGTCCTGGGAATTCCATAGACCGCTCAGAGCCAATTCCACACCCATCTCCAAGGCGGCACGGGAGACGTCATTTTTCACTGGATAGCATGTGCCAGGTTAAACTCACTAGAAAGAAACAGGGAGGTGTGGATTCTGGGGGTCAGGTGGAAGTCTTTACCACCTGTGCTTAATAGCTAATTTAGGAGCGTAAACCAAAGTGAAGAAGATCAGATCACGTGTGTGTGCACGTGATCTTTATCGGGCATTTTCTCCAGCCTGTACCTGAGCAGTTCTTCAGCCTGCCCTTCGGATTTGGTGTAAGCTCACACTGTGTTGCAATTCCTTTGGAGTACAAGCCCTCTCCTCTTGGGTCAGACGTGGCCTTTGTCCCCTTGGGTGAGCTGGGTTCTGGTTTGGTGGCAGTGAGCGGTGGTGGCTGAGTGTTGGGGAGAATAGGCCTTCCCTTGCAAGGCAACTCCCTTGGGCAAGATTAGTATGGGGTCTTCAGGCAAGGGAGCTCGTACTTTCACTCAGGTGTGGAGAGACTGCTTTCACAGGCAAGGAGTGTCAGGGTTGCAGGTTCTCAAAGCTTTCTGAGTCACCCACATGGGCCCGTCTCAGTTCTCAGGGTGCTATTTCTTCCCAATCGATGCTCAAAGTTTTACATCAGAGTGTTGGCAAGGCTGTGAGTTCAATGTACTTCCTAATCCTGCATCCTCAATAATCAAATTTGGGGACTGGTGCTGTACCAGTCCTTTCACTCTAAGGGTTATGACAGTCTTATGGGGCCATCGTGGAGTGTCCTGCCTGCTCTGACTCTTCTTGGACTGAGTGTTCTTTTCTCTGAGCTTGCTGTTTTCCT